TCTTTTTACCTAACAGCCTTTGCTGATAGGTTTCTAGTGGGGTCAAAAGAAAGCATCTTGACGCCCCAGGGGGGTCTGGGCGGGAACCGGACAAAACCGGACAAAACCGGCAGCCCCAGGAATCCTTAGGAATCCTGAAGAATTCTTAGGAATCCTCAGGAATCCATTCCCAGAACACCATTCCCAGGCCACATTTTGAATGCCCGGAGCCAACTGTAGGCCACTTCGTGTTCTTCGTGTTCCGAGAACACCATTCCTGTAACATATTTTGATTGCCCGGAGCCAACCGTGGGTCACTTCGTGATCTTCGTGTTCCCACAACGCACATCCTGTGCCATATTTGGAATGCCCGAGCTGAGGCATGCTGAGGCCGAGGCAGGCTGAGTCTGAGGCAGGCTGAGGCTGAGGCTGAGGCACGCCGAGGCAGGCTGAGGCTGAGGCTGAGGCAGGCTGAGGCTGAGGCAGGCTGAGGCTGTGGCTGACGCAGGCTGAGGCTGAGAGGCTGACGCTGAGGCTGAGGCAGGCTGAGGCTGAGGCTGATGCAGGCTGAGGCTGAGGCTGAGGCTGAGGCCGAGGCAGGCTGAGGCTGCAGGCTGAGGCTGAGGGCAGGCTGAGGCTGAGGCCGAGGCAGGCTGAGGCTGAGGCTGAGGCAGGCAGGCTGAGGCTGAGGCTGAGGCAGGCTGAGGCTGAGGCTGAGGCTGCTGAGGCTGAGGCAGGCTGAGGCTGAGGCTGAGGCAGGCTGAGGCTGAGGCTGAGGCCGAGGCAGGCTGAGGCTGAGGCTGAGGCAGGCTGAGCTGAGGCCTGAGGCTGAGGCTGAGGCAGGCTGAGGCTGAGGCTGAGGCAGGCTGAGGCTGAGGCAGGCTGAGGCTGAGGCTGAGGCCGGCAGGCTGAGGCTGAGGCAGGCTGAGGCTGAGGCCGAGGCTGAGGCTCTGAGGCTGAGGCTGAGGCAGGCTGAGGCTGAGGCTGAGGCTGACAGGCTGAGGCTGAGGCAGGCTGAGACAAGGTGAGGCCGAGGGGAGGCTGAGGCCGAGGCTGAGGCTGAGGCCGATGCAGGCTGAGGCTGAGGCTGAGGCAAGCCGAGGCAGGCTGAGGCTGAGGCTGAGGCTGAGGCTGAGGCTGAGGCAGGCTGAGGCTGAGGCAGGCTGAGGCTGAGGCTGACGCAGGCTGAGGCTGAGGCAGGCTGAGGCTGAGGCTGAGGCAGGCTGAGGCTGAGGCCGAGGCAGGCTGAGGCTGAGGCTGAAACTGAGGTAGGCTGAGGCATCAGTAGGAATCCATAGGAATCCTTAGGAATCCGTAGGAATCCTTAGGAATCCGTAGGCATCCTCAGGAATCCGAAGGCATAGTTAAGCATCCTCAGGAATCCTTAGGAACCCTTAAGATTCCCTAGGAATCCCTAGGAATCCCTAGGAATCCCTAGGAATCCACAGGAATCAGGATTCCTAAGGATTCCTATGGATTCCTAAGGATGCCTAAGCATGCCTAAGGATACCTTAGGAATCCCTAGGAATCCTTAGGATTCCATTGGATCCGAAGGGCGTTGCCACTGCGACTGTCATTGCGAATGCGACTGCGACTGCGAGAAGAGCAGAATTCTACAACTGGATTCTCACCTGAATCTTAAGGGGAATGCTTCCAGATATGCTTATACACATCGCTGTTAGGTTGCTTTGCCGGGATAGTACTATTTTTGAACACTCCTCCTGTAGAGGGACAGGCCCGACTCACACCTGAGCCCAAGGAGCGGCCCGACGACCTAAGCCCCTGCTGAGCCCGCGGTGGCCCTTGTTCCTGCGGCTGGACGGCACGATCCCTTCAGTTTGGGCGATCCTCCTCGATTTAGGCCTCTGGGGCCTGGCCATCGCTCGGACGTCCATTCCCCGTGCTTTGTTCTGTTTCGTGCGAGGCTCCTTCGCCAAGTGATCAAGGATGCTCCTCGATGGTCCTCGCCGAAGGAAAACCTGCACACGTCCGAGCGATGCCGAGGCGGGCCTGCTCGCGGGCCCCAGCGCCGCCACAGGTGAATCCAGTGGCACTCCCCCCCGGGCCTGGGGCGGGGAGCTCTGCGGCCGCGCACTGGAAAAGAGCCGAGGCGCCGGCCGTCTGGGCTCTGGTCCTCGGGTGCGTGCAGGCCGGGCTGCTGGCAAGAGAGGGGGGGGGGGGCCCGAGGAGCGTGGCTCGGCCGACGTCGGCCGCCAGCTGCGGGTGCCGGGGCAGACTTCGGGCCAGGCTCGCGCGCGCGCGCGGCCTCGTGCACGCGCAAGGGTCTGGGCCCGGCTCCCGGCCCCCGGGAGCGGCAGAGGGAACGCCGAAGCAGGCACACGAGGGGACGTTCCTTACTGGTCGTCGCATGTGTTGGGCATCGCCGATCGGCCATCCGACAAGTGAAGCACATGCAGTGACCACTGGACGGCAGGCGCCCGTCTCGGGCCAGGCGCGGCAGAAGCTGAGCTGGCCGCCAGCCCTTCTCCACGACGCCCCGTCTGCCATTAGACGGCCGCCTCGGACGGGCTTGCCACGATGCAACGGACCTCTGGGGACGCGCGCCTCCAGAACGGCCCCAAGACAACCTGGGCGCAGTCAAACACAAGCCCATGACGGATCCAAGCCGTCCCAACACTTTCCAAAGACAATCAGAGGACACCTGCAGAGGGCCCCTTAGACAAGATGGCCCTAACAAGCCCTCATGCGGCCCCAACACCCCAAACAGGCCCCAAGGCAGCACTATCCACTGCAGAGTTAAAGTGCTGGTGCGCTGCTTTGGGCTGTTGCGGATGCGAGATGTGTTCATGTCGAAGCGAATTGCACACAAATAAACACAGGTTAGGAAATATTCAAACGATTGCTACCAAGGCTCGCGCCCTACAACCCCACAGTCATTGGCCTCTTTTCGCCTCCCTGCCCTACACCCTGGCAAGGTGGCACAGCGACAACTTCTGGGCAAGCGCTTCTGGTCAAAGACAGGCAACGTCGGCAGCGAATTCTGACAGCACCCCCGTGCAAATCGGGCAGGACTTGCTGTGGATCATTCTCCCCGTTCTGGACACAACCCGGGGAGAGGGAAGAGGGGGAGCGGGAGGGGCGGGAGGGGGAGGGGAGGAGTGGGAGAAGCAGGACGGGGAGGGGGAGGGGGAGGCGTGGGAGGAGGAGGGCGGACAGGGGAAAGAGAGACAAGCTGAGCGCGCTCGCGCCATATAGGCCATCCTGCCCATCCCATCCCTCCCTTCCCATTTGCGCCGAGGCGCTCTCTGTCCACTGGCGGGTGCATTCACGGACCTGGAGGCCCCGAAACGGCCCCTTTTATCGTAATGTGCGCAGTCAGAGAGGGAAGCTGCGTACATCGGAGGAGGTGGTGGTGGTGGTGGTGGTGGTGGTGGTGGTGGTGGTGGTGGTGGTGGTGGTGGTGGTGGTGGTGGTGGTGGTGGTGGTGGTGGTGGTGGTGGTGGTGGTGGTGGTGGTGGTGGATGAGCAGGAGGATGAGTAGGAGGAAGATAAGGAGGATGAGGAATGAAGGAAGAGAGGAAGGAAGGAAGGAAGGAAGGAAGGAAGGAAGGAAGGAAGGAAGGAAGGAAGGAAGGAAGGAGGAGGAGGAGGAACAGCAGCAGCAAAGTGAGCAGGATGGAGCAGGAGTTCGAGGAGCGGGAGGAGCAGCAGGACCAGGGGAACAGGAGTGGAGCGACAACGACGAGGAAGAGGAAGGACCCAGGTCCAGACGTGTGGCTCGCCCTGGGGCGAGAGCGCCAAGTCTGAACGACTAGAGCAGAGCGCGGACCCTAACATGAGACCACCGCTGCAGCGGGAGCAACATCTTGAAGAACAAACAAACAAACAAACAGACAGACAAACAAGCAAAAACAAACAAACATACAAACAAACAAACAACCGTTCAGACTAGACGAAAATAAGTGCAAAACACAGATTGGAATCCGATCGGTAAAAAAAACCAGCATGCGGCAGACAGAGTCAACGACCGGCTCGCACAGAGTCTCGGGAGAGAGGACAACTGGCACCAAGCCGAGCAAGGGGAGGGGGGACGAGCGGAGGGAGAGGAGAAGGGAGGAGGTAACTCGGGGAGGAGGGAGGAGCAGAGGTAACTCGGGGAGGAGGGAGGAGCGGAGGGAGGAGGAGCACGAGACGGAGGGGCCGAACGCTGGATCATGCACCAGGAGGCATTGAGCGACTCATATCCTGAGAAGAAAAAACGACACAGACATAAATTGCTGGCGATCCCCGCGAATTTCTTGGATCTGCGCTGGACGCTCCTCCCTGGCGCGCGGAACGCGCCAGGGGCGGCGCCAGAGGCGCCGCCAAGGGGAGCGCAGATCCTAGAAATCCGCGCAGGGCGCCGAAAGTTTATGCTTATACCGCTTTTTCTTCGATCACATCCTCTTCCTGAGGGCTTGCCCGAGCATCGCCCTCCCCCCCCCCCCGAGTCATGAGTGAGGAACATGTCCAGACCCGTGCCCTCGGGCTGGGGAGCACCGAGGCGCGATCCCGTGGCTGCGCGATGCCGTGGATCACAACCCGCGCGGGGCCCCCGCGCGAGGCCGCTCAGCATCCGTGGGGTCGCGGCAGAGGAGCCCGGACCGACAGGCCATACGTGGGACGAGAATGACGTCATAATACAATTGGCTCCGGATTTTTCGCCGGCGGCGAGGCAGAGGCAGTCCGCACCAGCGTGGGGCGAATCGGGGCAACCGATAAGAAACTTGTCCAGCGTGCAAGAGGGAGAGAGACGAAGACGAGGGCATACAAGGGCGACCGCGCGAGGGAAGGAGCGGGAGGGCGCTCAGACCTGCAATTGGCTCAGGACACCTTCCAGGAACCCTGGAGTATCCGGCGGCCCTCGCTCCTGCAGCCCGCGCGAAACATCGCGAAGCCTTCGGAAATCCTGGAAACCTGGGAAGTCTAGGAAGCCCTGGCATGCCTCCTGACCATGACCTCCTGCTCCTCAGCAGATGGACGCAGTTCCCGCACACGGCCGCCCCCTCCCCCCGGGCCGCCAGAGACTCCGAGCAGGACGAGCCCGCCAGGGAGCCGCACTCGCAGTCGACCGCGGCCCCCAGCGCCACGACCGCCGCGACGCCGGCGAGCGCCAGGGCGGCTGCTGCGGCGTGTGCCCACTGGAGCCCCTGGGCGGACTTCCCAGGAGAGACTCGACTCAGACCCCCAGCCAGGACGAGAATGACGTCAGGAGGCGATTGGCTCAGGATTGTGGATGCCATGACAATGGACACTCGAACAATCCGAACATTTAATTCAACATGTGTTGATAATGTGTAAAACATGTTCTAAACATGTTTCAAACATGTTTTTAGATTAAAGTGAAGGGGCTGAACCAAACGGTCATTCACTGTCCCTGGGTGCTTGGCTGAAGTGGAACTCCGCGATGCGGATTACTCTTGTTGTTAATGGTGTTGACGTTGTTGTTGTTGTTGCTGTTGTTGCTGTTGTTGCTGTTGCTGTTGTTGTTGCTGTTGGTGTTGCTGTTGCTTGTTACTTGTTGTTTGTTGTTTGTTGCTTGTTGTTGTCGTCGTCCCACCCGCGACCTGCCCCGCGACCCACCCGCGACCCACCCCGCGACCCGCCTGCGACCCGCCCGCGACCCACCCCGCGACCCACCCGCGACCCACCCCGCGACCCACCCCGCGACCCACCCGCGACCCACCCGCGACCAACCCGCGACCCACCCCTCCCTCGACCCGCCCGCGACCCGTCCCAAGACCCCCCCGGCGACCCACCCCGCGACCCACCAGCGACCCACCCGCGACCCAACCGCGACCCACCCCGCTACCCACCCTAAATTTTCGGCGCCTGTGGTGTGCTTCTTTTGCATTCGTTCTCGGTGGAGAACCTGCGACCCACCCGCGACCCAAACCGCGCTCAGTGTACAAATCAAAATGTTCGGCGCCTGCGGCGGGCTGTTTTTGAATTTCTTCCCAGTGGAGGTGGAGAGCCCGCGACCCACCCGCGACCCAAACTACGTTACCTGAACAAGCCAAAACTTCGTCGCCTGCGGCGGGCTTCTTTCGCATCCGTTCCAAGTGGAGACCCTGCGACCCAACCTGCGTTCAATGTACAAATCAAAATGTTCGGCGCCTGCGGCAGGCTGTTTTTGAATTCCTTCCATGGAGGTGGAGAGCCCGCGACCCACCCGCGACCCAAACTACGTTCACTGAACAAGCCAAAATTCGGCGCCTGCGGCGGGCTGTTTTTGCATTCGTTCCGGATGGCCCACCAGCGATCCCCCCCGCGCTGAACTTGTCAGAGCACGCAAATCGGCGCCTGCGGCGGGCTTGCTCGCAATGGTTTGGGAAAGCGCCCTCATGCCATTTCCCCGATCCGGCCCACGTTGACTCTACAACATCACATCGGCGCCTGCAGCGGGGCTGTCTGAACACGTTCATTGACAATCGAGCTGCCTGCTGCAATTCGGCAGGAGGAGGAGGAGCAGGAGCAGGAGGAGGAGGAGGGCGCCATCGACAGTGAAGGTAAGGGCCACGAGGTCCGCCGGCTCGACGCCCGCGTCGCCCGCGCCCGCCCCATCACTCTTATCCGCGCAATTGCGGGGTGCTACGTATTTAAAACATGTTTGAAACATGTTTTAGACATCTGGAAATTATTTGGCAGCACGCTTCCTCTCCATCGATCGACTTCCACAGGCTCAGGATACCTTCTAGGAAATCCGGGGCGGTTGTCTAGGTGGCCATCGCTCCTGCAGACTGTTGTGTGGAACAGTGGGTCGTCTTGCAGATCCTGGGAGCCCTGGAACGTAGCATCCTGACCTCCTGCCCCTCTGATCAGCAGAGATCCGATCCGGACCCGCTGGTGCAGGCCCCTCCGGGCGGACGTCTGGCCTCGGCTCCCTCGGAGCCTGGGTGGCGCACTGGCCCGACGGGCCGACCGGACGAGGCCTCGGAGAGCGGGCGGACGCGGGCCCGAAGAAAAGCACCGGCGGCGGGGCGCACCGGAACAGAGCGCCCTCTCCCGAGGGGAGCGAGGCGGGCAGAGAGGCCGAAGCCAGCGGCAGGCTCGTGCCGTGACGCCCCCAGCGCTTGTTCAGAAAAGAAAAGAGGGAAAAAAAGACAAAACAAAAAAAACAAGCAAAACGAACACGAAAAAAAAAAAACTAACAAAACAAAACAAAAAACAAAAACAAAAAAAAAAAAAAAAAACCAAAAAAAAAAAAACAAAAAAAAAACGGCCGAACCATTCACCTTTGGGCGCTCCGCGCGGACTTCTCGGCTCCGCGCTGGACCCCCCCCCCCTCCCTGGCGCGCGGAGAGCGCGCCAGGGAGGCGGCGCGCGAGGCGCCGCCACGGGGGGGCCCCAGGCGCGGATCTCTAAGAGATCCACGCGGAGAGCGCCACAAGTGGATGTTTGCGTCGCTCGCTCTTCTCCAACCAGCGTTACGTCGGTGGGGGAATTTTCGGCGAAAAATATAGAATACCCCAAAAATGCCCCCAACAGGCAAAAAATACTCCAAAAATAGTCCCCAGACTATTTTTGGACTATGTTTGGACTATTTTGGGGGCATTTTATTTTTCGCCGACAATCCCCCTGTAGGGGGACAGGCCCGACCTAAGACCAGCGCCTGCTTCTGACCCCGCGTGGGTCGCTCAAACTTCAACGGTCGGCGGCTGTCCGATCGCCAGGCCGTGCCATCCCGTTGGCCGATGCCGGGCCACACCCGCGGCGCTCGGCCTGGAGAGCGCCCGCGCGGCGGGGCCGCCGCCGTGTCGCCGCGGGACGCGCGGACCTGCCGTAGAAGGCCTGCCGGCGCCGCGGCACAAGAAATCATGGCGTGGGAGACGACCAAAACGCAGAATGAGGATGCACGAGAATAGACAAGCGCGTTCCACTACTCGCAAAGAAGCTACTCGCAAATGGCCAGGATCCGCCGAGGGGAATTGGCGATACATTACATCGAGGCAGACGATTGTTTTTAGGGCCTTGTGCGAGTAGGCAGTTTGCGAGTAGTGGAACGCGCTCGGTGAGAGAAGGATGCAAGGGCCTCGGAAGGCCATGCCGACACCTTTCGAATGGGGCTGGCCAGCGAAAGCTGTCGGGGATGGGCCGAAGGGGCAGGGATGCAAGGGCAACCTTGGAAAGCTGCTCATCCTGACTGATCAACCCAAAAAAATGGCCCCTAACCCTTTAGGACGGGGCCCAAGTCAGAAGGGCCGAGAACATTGGGGATAGGTGCTCTCTCCTGCAGATGTATCGAACCCAACCGCCTAGAATGATCATCCCTAGTGCGAAGACGGGGACCTCAGTGAGGAGACGTCGCCACTGTGTGATCAGGGCCAGGGCTTTCTGTTCTCGATGACTCGCTGTGCGCTTTGACTTCCTGCTCCTTGAGCTCGGGCCTCTGGGAGGGGGGGGGGGGGGGCGCTGCGGGCCCCAGGGGGGGGCCCTCAGAAAAAGCAGCCCCGCGCGAGGGCTGTCCTCGGGACGAGGTCGTGAGCTCTCCGGGGGGATATACACGGAGGGGCTATAGGGCAGGGGGGCCAGGGCAGAGGCGGCGGGTCGAGAGGTCCTCGAGGGCCCGCGTAGGGGCCCCGCACCAGGCGACGCTCCCCATCGGCGGCGAGGGGGGGGGGGGGGAGTGAGAGGGAGAAGGCCTGCTCGGAAGGCGGCGGGGCTCCTCGGGAGGCTTACTGCTGTGTGTTTTCGGGGAGGGCCGAGAAGAACTTCTCAGAGGGCTGGGGGGTCATGAGATGGGGCGCGCACGAAGACATAGTAATAATGCTATATGTCATCCGTGGAGGCGCGCGTCCGACCCGAACATACGGTATACGCATCTTGTAGCGTATCGTTTCCCGAGAGGTGGGGCCAGAGAGTGCCCGCCGCGACGCATGTACTATCAGATTTCTCGGTGCGCGCGTCGCCCCTGGGGGGGCGACGCACACACACGCACACAATCACACACACACACATATTATTAGTATGTTGGAGTGACGCCGCTGAAGAAGTCGCGGCGCGGGAAGCCCCGAAGTCTTGGCACAGCCAAAAAAACTGGCATCCTTGCGTCGCAACACCAAGCAGTACGAAAACACGGCGGAAGGCTTTCGCTATGTTCTTCTTTTGGGAGCCCTCACCTGGCCATGAGGCCGTCCAAAAACGACTCGGGACGAAACGCCAGTCCAAACGGTCCCCGGGAAGGGGTCCAGCAGACCTCTGGGGGGCCACGCTGAGGAAAAAACACGCCGTCGGATGTCTGTGAGCTCGTAGAGGGCGCACGATGGCACGGCAAAGAAAAGGCCGAAGCGGCACCCGGGCGACACCTGGTGGATCGACTATGTGGCGAGGCAGCGGCTCCAAACGGCGAATGGGCACATGCGTCCTCCATCTGCAGCTGAATCTGCCAGAGGAGCCCCCCACTGGTAGGTGGGGTGAACGAGGGGCCACGGTGGGCCAAATGGCGGGCGCCCGCTTTTGATGCAAACGCGCTGGACCATGACACGAACAGGGCGCGACGCCAAAGAAGCAAGCTGTAGACAAGCCAACAGACGCATGCGTACCAAAGGGAAGCCGACAGCACGGCGAAGGGAAAGTGCGATCAGCGTGCCGAGACTTGATGGCTGGCTGCGGCTGGCTACGAGCTGACATCCAGACGGGCATAGCCCACCCAGGGGCATCAAAAATCAAACACGCGCAGGAACATTAAGCACAGGAGCAATGGAAGACCACAAGCTTTCTCCTCAGATGGGCCAAAGGGCAGCGGACACACAAGAGCGCGGCCGACTAGAGCCAGTGGCGAAGGCACCCAGCGAAGCGAGAAAACGGCAGCGGCAGCGGAACGGCGAAGCCTTGGCAGACGAAAACGCGCGGAAGCGAGGCCAACGCGATAGCAGCGGTGGAAAAGAAACGGAAAGACCACACACTGACACACACACACGTTTTGCGTCGGAAGCTGGGCAGACGGTGACTGCCCGGGCGGATCGGCAACAGGGGACAGGCTGTATGCAAAAGCCGCCATGCACGGAGGAAGAGGAGGAGCCCCGGCGACACACACACACACAATTTCCCGTCGTGGCGCGGCAGAGGCGATCCGCTCGCGCGTCGAACTGACTGGGGCTACAGTCAACCCGTATGGTAAGGATAAGCGATAAGGATGCAAGGGCCTTGGACGCCCACTTCGAAGCTTTTCCGGCGCGGCGCGGCCGACGAAAGTGGCGAAGGCTGGACCGAGGAGAGGCAAGGATGCCAGGGTACCCCTGGGAAGGTTGCCCATCCTCACTGTTCGGGTTGACTGCACGGCGTTACAACTTGCCCACACACGCACACACGCTTGCGACTTGGACCCTCGGCACCTGCTGTTCTTCGGCAAGACCGCCGCCCCTCGTGCACTTCTGGACGCTGGTGCTCGCCATCGCCACGGGTGCTGCGCGGAAGGCACCAGGACACCGCCACCGCGCCGGGCCGGGACCATCCTGGGGCCCTGGCGCGGCGGCTTCGCCCCCCAGGGGCCCGTACGCCAACAGTTGAGCAAGGACCGACCGTCCCGGCAATTCCTATCGTCCTACCACGACATGTTCGTAGAACCCAGACACGTTCTAAGAACAAGAACAACGTTCTTAGAACATAGACCCGATGAAAACAAGACAGTCCCAGCCAGAAATGTTGCAAGAACATTTCGTGGGAACCACCAAAGGTTCTCAGAGCATTGTTCGGCAGGACTATAGGCACGCCAGGACGCTTCGCCACTGCTTGAAACAGGCCTGCACACCATCCCTGGATGGCACTGGTCAAACACGGTGGTAGTGCCCCCCCCTGAGATCCGACGGTGCACAAAACAAACCTCCTCGCGAGAAATCCGACCAAAGCCATAGACCCCACCGTTCTGCCGAATTCTTCCGGCCGGATCGCTCTGTGGCCCCAGGGCCCGAACCTTCGGTCGGGCATGTCCCCCTACAGACGGATTTTGGAAGAGAAGCAAAAAATAATTAAACAATGCCCAAGAGTAATCAAAAATGGTAGGAAAACCGTCCCCTGACTATTTTTTGTTGTTTTTTGTACTCGTCCCTTGGAGGGACATGCCCGACTCAACCCGGCGAAACTGCCCTGGGCGACAGAGAGACTGCAACGCCTGGATCTGAGGGGCAGGTGCCTTCTGCGGATTTGTCGGCACAGGAAGAAAAAACACCATGCGGCAGGTTCGCGTGCCGACTTTCGGCGCTGGCTTCTGACACCGCGGGGATCGTTCAACCTTGAGCAATCGGCCGCTTCCGAAACGTCCAAATCGTTCCACGTCGAACGAGTCTGAGTCGCCGCCGGCGTTCAACAGTGAACGCCGGCGGACACGAACCAACTGTAAATTTTTGGCGCTCCGCGCGGATTTCTTGGATCTGCGCTGGACCCCCTCCCTGGCGCGCGGAGCCTGCCGCGGAGCGCGCCAGGGGAGGAGGAGGAGGAGGAGGAGGAGGAGGAGGAGGAGGAGGAGAGGAGGAGGAGGAGGAGGGGGAGGAGGAGGAGGAGGGGAGGAGGAGGAGAGGAGGACGGAGGAGGAGGGAGGAGGAGGAGGAGGAGGAGGAGGAGGCGCCGCCAGGGCAGGGCTCCAGCGCAGGTCCAAGGAACCCGCGCGGAGAGCCAGAAGCTGATTCCCAGATCAGTGCCTGCACCGAAGGGGTCCTGGCAGAAATCGGAAGGTCTGGCGAGAGTGCCCCGCCGATGTTGGTGACCGACTGGGTTCCTGGGTTCCTGGCTCCGGGTCCCCGGGTTCCTGGCTCTTGGTTCTGGGCCGCTTTCGGTGGGTTCCGAGATTTCCCGGGTTCCCGGTCGATCTCCCTATACCTTTTATCGATCTCTCTTTGTCGATCCCACTTCAAACCATCCACTGATTGGGTTTTTTCTCTTGTGTAATTCGGCTACACGCAAGAGTGACCCTGGGCAAGAGTGACCTTTGGTGCGCGGCTTTTTGGGGGACGCGGGGGGACCAGACCTGGGCGCGCAAGCCGCTGCTACCGCTTCGCTTTCAGCCATCTAAGGGCCCATCTGTGCCCGCACCAAAGGTCACTCCGGCGAAAGGTCACTCTTACGTCTAGTCGATAATGGCGTGTTTCCTTCCTCGGCATGAGGTGAATCGGTGAAAGGACAAGTATTTATCCGCTGGCCCCCGTGAGGGCACGGGCAGGTCGGCGGGCTTCGACGCGCCCGGCGCGGCGGGCGGCACCAGGCGCGCGGCCACCCTGGCGCGTGCCGACGTCGAGGCGGGAAGGAGATTCGAGGGTCGAGGCTCGTGGAAGTCGAGGGTCGAGGATCGAGGAGGATCGCGGAGGAGCGAGGCTCAGGGATCGAGGAGGATCGAGGATCAAGGATCGGGGAGGATCGAGGATCGAGGAGGACCGAGGAGTATCGAGGAGCAGGGATCCAGGAGGAGGACCAGGGATCGAGGGATCGAGGGTCGCTATCCTTGGGCCTCTGGAAAGCTCCGAGTCCTCCTCACAGGCCGAGATCCGCTTCGACACGCTCGCCGGAGCGCACCCCAGGATTGGTCCATATGTTGAGTTTCCACTCTCAGGGGAGCCCAAATCGAATCGATAAGTCAGATCGGCGATCGAAGTGATTCGGATCGACGGAAATCGGCAGTCGAGTCGGGAGAAGCCGAATCGGCGGAAATCGGCAGGCTAATTCGGCTTTCGCTCATAAAACGGAAAATCGGATCGGAATCGGAAGCCGTCGAAATCGAATCGGATCGAACAGAAGGAGTCGAAATGAGCCCTGACCCCTGGACCCAGACCCCGTAACGTCGTGAAAAAAACGGCTGGAAGTGTTTTGCAACTGACGGCCCCCTGGAGCCCCCAGCCCAGTCTTCGGAGCGTTAAGTTAAGAGACAGGTCGGGATGAAACACCAGTCCAAAGGGTCCAGACATTCCAGGAGCCCACGTCCGCAACAAATCACTGCGTCGGGGGCCCTGGGGTGTGGAAGAGCGGGAAAATAACATAGAATCGAACTACGTCGGAAGCTCTGCAAACCGGCGGGTCCGGAGGATGTCTCGGCTGCCGCCAGCGTTCCAGAGCGCTGCGTGATTGAAACAATTCTGCTTGAAGATAAGAGGAGGGGGAGGAAAAGGAGGAAAAGGAGGAGGAGGAGGAGGGGAAGGAGGAACAGGAAGGAGGACGAGGAAAAAACGGCACCCTTGTGCGAGGCGCCAAGGCACTTCGTGCGCAAGGACGGCGCCAAGGGAGGACCCAAGATCTCCGAGCGTGGCGCGGGATGCCAGGAAGGAGCACGAGCCGCGGCACCCAGACCCCCGACGCCCCTGGAACTGCCGACCCCCACCCTGCAATGCCTGCCTCTCCTCCCGCATATGTGCTTCTCGGCGGACCCGCGGGCGCCCGAAGGCAGCCCCCGGACGCCGAGAATGGCGGCCGGCCCCGAGGGAGGCCGCGGCGTCGTCGCGGGCCTGGATCGAATCGCCGGATCGATCCGCCGATCCCAGTGCCATAGTGTGCCACCGTTGATTCTTGTGTCGCCGCAAGTTACCAGCCTCGAACGTGTCCCGATCCCTAAGATTGGCACGCCAAAAGGCGATGACGATCTTAGGGATGCGCCCTCAAAAAATAAGGGAACCCCTAAGATTGGCATCGTGATGAGGAGATGCCCAGCATAGGGATAGGGATACGTTCCAGGCTGGCAAGTAATGACTACCTACCAGACCACCCCAACCCAACCCGAAGACCCGAATTTGACCCGAATTTCGGGTTGGGGGGGGTACGGATACCATGTGTTTTTTCAACGTTCCCCGACCCCCCCCCACTGGAAATCGAGGATAAATTTGGGCCTTCGGGTTGGGTTGGGGTGGTTTGGTGGGTGGTGAAGTAAGGAGGGGGCGGGAGCAGGCGGGGCCATCTGTCGCAACGCCCCCTGGCCGTCGGGCCCCTCTGGCAGCCCCCCTCGTGGCCACGGCGGGGCCCGCCGCTTCGGCTCCCGGCCGGCGCGCGCTCCTTAAGGAGGGGGGGGCGGGCGCACCCCCTCCGACGGTCGACCCGCGCCGAACGCTCGCGAGGATCGGCGGAGCTGTGTCGCCCCCCTCTGTCAGGCGCGGCCTCGTGCAGGGCGAGCAGGAGGCCCAGTGTCCTCCTCCCGGCCGCGACAGCTGCTGCATCGAGGAGTCCCCAGCGCGTGCCTCCGACTCCGTGTCCTCTGCGCTCGGGGACCGCCCCTGTCGCACCACCTCTGAGTGTCGAGAGACATGCGACGCCTCCACGTGCCCCGCGACCCTGGGGCGGGTTGAGACCGCGCTCGTGGACCACCCCCCTGCGCCGGACGGCGTCAACAAAATGAACACCACACCACGCCCCGCGACCCTGCAACGGATGGAGAGCTACGCCGCGGAAACTATTTTCAGCCAAACGTCCTGAGCTGTGTCACGGAGATGTTTCGGGCGTCCGCGCGCCATGGCCATGGGACCTGTGCCTTCGGTGCCCGCGCGCACATGGGAGATGCAACTCAATGCTCTGCATCGCAACGGCCAATGACACGGTGCAGTGCGGAGCGCCGCAGTTTTTTACGCGCGGAGCGCCACATGCGCGCGACGCGCGCACGAAGTGTGCGCGCTGTACTCAGAGGCGCTGTGGCAACGGCAAGGACTGCGACGGAAATGGCGATAACATCTGAATCGCGCGCAACGCGGGCGACTGCCAGCCCCACTGCTCCAGCCAGAACGCACGTGCGACGACGCCCTCCTCGGACACCGACGACATCAACCTGAAGACTACGTAAACCGTGTGTCGTCGAAGCTATGATGTTGTTTCCTGCTGCGGGCATGACCTGACAGGCTGGCCCAGCCGGCACCGGTGGATCGGCCCGAATCGAATCGTCGCTGCACCGACCTTGCAGACGTGCTGCAGCGGATTCTTGGCGTGGATTTCTGTCAACGCAAGACCCCGAACTGGCGAGCGAAAAACGAAGCGAATTCCACGTAGAATTTTCTTTAGTCTTCCTTCCTGGCCCCAAAAAATCCGCACGACCTTCACCTCGAAATCTGGAGCGAAATTCCCCAGGACACTCTGGGACTGGCCTCGCGTCCCGAGAGACGTGGCCTCCCCTCGTCGTCGTCGTCGTCGTCGTCGTCGTCGTCGTCGTCGTCGTCGTCGCTTCGTCGTCGGCGTCGTCGTCGTCGTCCTCATCAGGAACAGGTCTCAGCCCCCGACTCGGTCCCGGCTCAAGCCCAACTCATGCCCGGCACGTCGACACCTACGTCGGCTCACAAAAAGTCGAACAATCATATACACCGCGCATGCCCTTCGCGTGTGCCGTCGTGACCCGAGGCACACGCAATGCCGTGCCAGCCCTCCGAGCTGGGTCGAGCCAGGAGAGCCCCATGCCGCAGAAAAGATGAACGTGCAGACGCGAGGAGAAAAAGGAAGTCACAGGGCTCGCGTGCTCGGATGTCGCCGCAAGGCGTTCGATGTAAGACTGCGTGATGAGTATCAGTCAGCGGGCAGAGGTTGTCCCACTAGCTTACTTGAGACAAAAAAGCTGCAGGAAGCACGAGAAAATTCGCCAGGATGTCGACCATTTCAATCTTGCCGCTGATCACCCTTGACGGCATCGTCATCCTCACCATCGTCTTGCTTCAAGTGCGCGTTCGCTCCTTCTCTCGTTCAGGAAGTCCTGTCCCGCGGACAGGGAGCAAGAATGGAAACTCCTCCCCCCCGAACCCCCTTCAGAGGGGGTTCGGGGGGTTGATCCCCCCAAAAACCCTCCGAAGCTCTCTCGAGAAGGCTCGGCGGTTTTACTCCCAGCACCCCCCCCCCCCCCCAAAACCCACCTTGAGGGGGTTCGTTTTTACCCCCCCCACAAACCCCCGAGCCTCCCTTGAGGGGGGTGCGGGGGAGCGTTCCCCCCGGGCACCCCCCGAACCCTTCTTGATGGCGGCTCTGAAAGGGCCACACCCCCCTCTGAAGTGGGCTGGAAGGATCGGACCCCCTGGCCCCGCCCTGAGGGGGGCGACCCCTCTCCCGAACCCGCCCCCGAGCCACCCGGAAGCCCCATCGAGCACCCCTTCGAACGGGGTCGGAAAAGACATTTCCTCACAGATCCCCCACGCCCCCCCCCCCTCCTCCCCCCCCCCCCCCTGGACACTCTTTGAGTGGGGTCCGGGTGTGTTTTTACCCCCAGGACCCCCCCCACCCGAGGCGGCTTCCCAACCCCCGTACCCGTTCGAACACCCTTCCGAAGACCCCCATTGAGGGGGGGTGTTGCTGAAGTGGGAAGAGGAAACATGGAGGGAGGGAGGAGCAACCAAGCAGGGAGGAGGCAGGAGGGAGGAGGCAGGAAGGAGGAGAGGACAGGGGGACGGGACAAGCTCGATGCGCTCGCGCCACATCGGACTTCCTACCCCATCCCACCCATCTCTTCCCATCGCGGTTTCCCACATCCTAAGGGGATTATCGTTTCTCTAGACACCCCGCGCAGGAACAGGAACAGGAACAGGAACAGGAACAGGAAACCATCATCATCATCATCATCATCATCATCATCATCATCATCATCATCATCATCATCATCATCATCATCATCAGCATCAGCATCAGCATCAGCATCATCATCATCATCATCATCATCATCATCATCATCATCATCATCATACTCATACTCATACTCATACTCATACTCATCATCATCAGCAGCAGCATCAGCATCATCATCATCATCATCAGCATCATCATCAGCATCACCATCATCATGAATTATCATCATCACCGTCATCATCATCATCATCACCACCACCATCATCATCATCACCACCACCACCACCACCACCATCATCATCATCATCATCATCATCATCATCATCATCATACTCATACTCATACTCATACTCATACTCATCATCATCCTGATCAACATCCTCATCAGCATCATCATCCTCATCATCATCATCATCATCATCATCAGCAGAAGCAGCAGCATCATCATAATCATCAGCATCATCATAATGATCGTCATCATCATCATCATCATCATCATCATCATCATCATCATCATCGTCAGCAGCATCATCAGCAGCATCAACATGACCATCAACCTCACCATCATCATCATCACCACCATCAGCAGCATCATCATAAGCATCATCACCATCATCACAATCATCATCACCTCCTCTATTCGTCACTGACACACTCAGGCACTCGCGCATTCACACTCACCATCATCACCAGCAGCAGCATCATCATCATTCGGTCCCTCACTCACTGACTTACTCACCCAATCGTCATCATCGTCACCGTCACCATCATCATCACCCTCATTCCCACACACAATCACACTCACACTCACACACACACACACACACACACAAACACACTCACACAATCACACACTCATGCATTCATCTTGGCAGGGGTCGCAGGCGCCCCTCCTTATGGGGCCCGCACTCCATATTGGTAATCAAAGCGGGTCGTCCAAACCCTGCAACTGTTTTCACTGTTGGGCTCTCCCGCCTGAATTTGGAAGCCTCAGGCAGGCTTTGTCTGTGAGTGACCCGCGAGGAAGTCTCAGGCGAGAAACCCCTTCTCTATGGGGCCCGCACTTCACGTTGGCAATCCGAGCGGGCAATCCAAATCCTGCAGCTGTTGTCACAGTTGTGCCCGTCACGCGTGAATTCCGAGGACACCTCAGGCGGAAGTTTCGTGTGCGAGTGATTTGCAAAAAAAAAAAAAAAAAAAAAAAAAAACTCAAGCAGGAATCCCTTCCCGATGGATCCCGCACTCCATGTTGGCAATCGGAACGGGTCATCCAAATCCTGTAACCGTCATCACTTTTGGGCACCTCACACCTTAATGATGAAGAAGTGCCTCAGGCGGGAGCCTCGTTCGTGAGTGGATCGCGAAAAAGTTTCATGCGGGAGCCCCCCCTGTGGAGCCCGCACTTCACGTTTGCACTTCGAGCGGATTACCCAAATCCTGTAACCGCCCTCAATTTCGGGCCCCGAAACCCTGCATTTTGAAGACGCCTCAGGCGGGAGCCTCGTTTGTGAATGGGTTGCAAGGAAATCTGTGGCGGGAGCCCCCTCCCTATGGAGCCCGCATTTCACGTTGGCAATCGGAACGGGTCATCAAAATCCTGAAATTCACTCTCATCACTTTGGGGCCCCTCGCGCCTAAATATTGGAAAAACCCTTGGGCGGGAACCTCACATGTGAGGGAACGCGAGAAAGTCTCAGGGGGGACCCCCTCCTTATGGGGCCCGCGCTTC